ATCTTCGTAACATTTTCGGGCGTTGTGCTCGAAGATGGTCGTCCAGAACGCTCGTCATCATCGACAGAGGTTCGGCCATTTTTAAAACGTGAATGCCACACAAAAGTTTGTGCACGACCCATTGCGGACTCCCCAAATGCTTGCTTTAGCATTTAATAGGTTTCCGTAGCCGTTTTGGCGAGTCTTTGGTAAAATTTGATGCACACGCCATTCCGAAATCGCAGGAGGGTCGGTGTAATGCACTACCAAAACGCCCGTAACTAAGAAACAAATGCTAATTTGATGATGCCGGCTGGCACACTGATTCACTATGAATGTAGGCCGCACCCCCTAGCGGCAGAAGCTCGTGCTACATCCGGTTCGCCCTCTATTGACACAGTCTTGAAACTTTCCGATCGCACCTCGTATGTCCACCATCTAAAATGCTGTACTGTGTCTATGCCAAGAATTCTTAACCTTTCGTGGACGTAGAGCTTTGTTTACACTTGCTTACAGACTCGCGAGGTTAGGTTAGGTTATGAGGTAAATGTGTTGAAACTTGATTGCAGTTATAGGATTTGATACTTTCGCGGCGAGTACAATCAATAAAATCTTCTCGGGCAATCAGCCGCGTCAACTGGTTACCGTAGTAAACCGACGTTTCGGGAACCAACTCTGATTGCCCGAGAACATTTTATTGATTGATTGCAGTTCATCAAAAATGCTATCATACCAACTTTATTTTGCACATAAGTCCACCTATTATCCCACGCAGTAATTTTCTTCAACAACACCAGCCGTTACTCAAATACCGTATTTGACGCCATCTTTGATTAAGCGATCTGTATGTCTGTTGCTATTACGCAATGTAACATTGCACGTGTTCATCAACAAATCTCGTCCTAGTTGTTTGTTTAGCGTTCCTCTGGTATGACTACAGTGTAGATCAGAATTACAAATATTAGTGTCGAAAGTTGAGTCTTTAATTTAAAATTTATCCAAGACGCATTCGTCCTTAACAGCTGAAGCTTGTGTGGGGACGGACGAGCGGGGGTGTTGAAGCAGAAACAAAATTGCATGAACGTTGTTCGTGAGTGATTGTGCATTTGACTTAGCTTACTCAAGGAATTTCAAGTTGTCCTAGAACTAGTCTTATGTAATTTATTGCTCATGGACCAAAACAAAAGAAGGAAAAAGAAGCAACTTGTGTTTTCCAGTTATCCTTCAGTTTTTTTCTGTCTGTGTATTCACACAGGCCGGCAAGAATTATGAATCTAATTATACAACTTCGTGATTTGCTTTTGTTCATTATCTTCCTCTTATTGATTATCTCTATCTGAAACTGTCTATGAGACATGCCATGAACACTTTAACTCTTAAGTCACTCTCATATTTAACGTTCAAAATTGTTTTAACAAAAATTGCAAATGATTTTATGGTCTGCCTCGTTATCAGTTTATATGTGCAATGGTTCTTTTCGTAGTCACCGTCAAAACGAAAAGTACAGAAAGATATCGCAAGGCCAGTGTCTTGGTATTTTACGCTAAATGAGAAAAATTGTTAAGAAATATTGCATTTATTTTATATTATTTATACCACAATATATTTAATGACCTTTAAGTAAATGATGATAGGACTGCCTTCACCTCAGAAGTTCACTCTGTTTCTAACTTGCACTGTTGATGTGCAGGGATTAGGCCTGAAATGTAAGAATGTGGAGTGGCAAGATGTTCAAACCCAGTTTCATGAAAATCCTTCAGTCGCATTGGAGAACAAACATACACACATGCACACGAGACGACATATGCTTAGAATAATGCCTAAACTATTGAATTATAATTGAATTATTTTTGGAATGTCCAAATTTATGCTTATTATTTTATTGACGAGTTAAATAAACTGTTGTTGGATCAGTAAATGTAACCAATTAAAGTAAACTTAATAATAATTAGTTTTATCGGTATAGTACGTTCGCAGTGACTTGAAAGATCTTCGTAATGAAACACTTTTACCACCTACAACTGAAAATACGTTTGATTTTAAAATCGGACAAGAACATTATCTCTTTACATACATTTACATAACTTATTATTTTTTGTTACTTTTTCTATAATTTCTTCAGCACACATACTGTGAAGAAAGATTTGTAAATACCATAACTTACATTATGAAGTTTCATGTTTAATGTTGTCTTCAAGACGTCTTTATCACGGTACTCTGCTCTGCGTGTGGCATCAAGTTATAATACGTCACGTAACGATGCCAACTTCGGTCCCCGTTTTGAAAGTCAATTTTGTTTGTAACAGGAGTCGAATTCAGGAGCGTCTACACGCGGTGACGAGGAAGTAGCGAACTGAACTCGATGGAAGGCAGAGTCAACGACTTTTCCTTCTGGGAAATAAAAATCCGTCTCTCATTTTTAAGACGCAGTGTAGATACTTCAATGACATGTTACAGAACGCAACAGTTTGTCAGTCGAGGCAGGTCAAGGAGCTAGTGACTGTGATAACGATAAGCAAAGAGCAAACATGAGGCCCACACAGGGAACTGTCTGTCCCGTTAAGACACACGTCCTAATGCGCTCGACGTAGACTGCGTCCTTTATATGCACACGAAATAAAGTACAAGGCTTTTCGATAAGACGAAATGCGTCTGGAAGAAAACAGGGACCGTCACAGAACGAATGACAAAGAATGAAAAAAAACAAGGATAAAACGAGGAGAAAGAATAAATGAGAGGTGAAGAGATAAGGAGAAGATACAAGGGGGGAGGGCAAGAAATAAGTCAAAAAGAAAACAAATGAGGAAGAAGGAAAGGAATGGATAAATAAGGCAAGAAAACAGAGAAAGAAGAAATTATGAGATAAATAAATATGGAGAGGAAGGTAAAGATGATAGAGAAGAATACAAAATAATTGTATTTCTTTTGTGGCTTGTTTCATGACGCTTTTAAATTTGTGAATTACACAAATATTCCGTTGGAAGGTAAGAGAACTGGGAATGGTTTTGAATGAACCGTCGTAGACTTTAAATTATAATAACACGCGGTGCCTGAAAGAACTGATGCAGTCCACCGGAAGTACTCAGTTCTTAGAGTCGATCTCTGCACCCAAATTCGACCTTTGAATTTCCGCAGTAAGTAGCACGAGTGCCGATTGCGGCAAGCACTACCAAGTTCAATATGTCAACGATGAAATGCGATAAATATGTTGTGTAATATAGTCTTTATGGAGTTGTTTTTTTTTAAAATAAATGTTAATCATATGATGTAAGTTACAGCTAATCACGCGCGATCTGTGCTCCTGACATAATTGTCTGTCCCTTAACCGTAATATATTTAGCAAGAAACTTACATTTTGTGCGTAATATGAGTTCCGGATAGAACTTCTTATTACTTATTGAAATGCTTCAATCTGTACAGCTATACAGATATATATATATGCTAATATGGTGATTGGTGTAGAATTAAATGTGTGGCAATTTAATAATTAGAAAATATATCAAGGTTCGTTATGTGGGAAGACAGGTCCATATGAACAGGATCCTTCCATCCTTTTCTCGGACTGGGACCTGTTCATACACGTTCTTGGCAGATGATCCAGAAGTGGTTTGCCATTGCCTTCTTCTGTGTGTGAATGGAGTAATTGTTGGGATGCCACGGAGAAACCGGGGAAGCCCCCGGAGGAAAACTCCGAGTTGCCTAGACCACGGCCTTGCCCAACATAAGTTATAATCGAACCCGAGACCCCAGGATTACAAGGCCAGCGTTCTAACCGTTAGACCACCTTGGCTAACATATTAGCGGAATATTAAATACGGGTATACTGGATACAGTGTAGTTTAAAGTACTTTGTCATCCCTTCTGCTATTTAAAATTATTGGAGATTAAAATGTACAAAAGAATTTCCTGTTTTGTGTGGGTGTCAAACTTGGTCTTTTGCGTTAAGGGAAATAAAAGACTGAACGTATTTGAAGCAGAATGCTCAGGAAAATATTCGGATTTGAGGAGGATGGAAATAATAATAGAGCTCAAATATTTGAAACATTGTTATGAATGTAACGAAAGATTTTGTTGATGTATTATCGCGATATTTTCCTCTAATATAGCTTGATTGTATTGAAACCGCTTTGCGTGTCGTGCCGATCGTTAGACCGAAAGGAAGACAATTACGAAGAATGTTTGCTTATATCTGACGAATTTAGAAAACAATGAATGGATCGTACATTTACATGTTAGCTAATCAGGAATTACTCTCCTTAATGTAGTTTAATATTTGTAGTAGTATTTTTCTAACTATATAGTTGACATTAAAAATAACAGGTCTGTTTATACAGAATGTTCCAAAAAGATGTATACACAGCAGCAAACAGTGGCCATTTTGAACACCTGCACTATATTAGCCAATTCGCTATGTCCCAATGTTGCCTTATGTAATTAATTTAGTTTGCTGAAATGTATTTATTATTATCATTGAATTTGTGTATACATCTTTTTGAGACAGCATGGTATTTCTTATTGAAATGTTTCTTTTTAGGTAATTTGTAATCGAAAGGACTTAAATCTGGGTTTTCGGTTTGCTGTTACTGTACATCTTCTGGTGTAAACTAACTCTTATTATGCCTCTTGTTCCCTTCTGCTGCTCTGTGCTTTGGACTGGATCAGTCGCGTTCAAATTCCACAATAAGCGACAGAACGCTTGAAGAATGCTGGTCCACGCTTCAACGAGTGAGTTGGCATCTCTTCCGTTGTGTATAGTATTCTTCCATTACTTATTATTATTAATATTAATATTATACAATAAGAATTGCGGGGTAATTGTATCAATAAGAATTGTCGTGTGTGTTGTTATGCAATTGGTGTCACTAGCCTCTAGCTGCATGTATGTTTTTTTCTCTTATTTTGTATTTATGTAAACGATATTACACTGTGATGCAGCTAGGTACGTTGAGGATGTATGAAAACAAATTATCGAGTTAGATAATTAGTTGTATTAAAATTGATTAACACGAGAACAGATAAAATTACGTGACGTAAAGTTTCAGGGTTTGTATTATTCACCCATGACTGTAATTAATTCATTTGGGATAACATTTACGGGGTGTGTTTCTTGCGTGGAGGAAACGAGAAGTGGCATACAATTTTGGTAGGAAATTATCGAGGGGAAAAGACTACTCGGAGATCAAGACGTAGATGTGGGATTCAGATAAATGAGATGTGAGATGTTGACCAGGTAAGCAGTTAGCTATGAAAGCGTGTAGGTGTCGTGGATGTTGAGTTCCACGCATTTTTATGAACAACATCTAATATCTAAAGACACTACTTCATTTTGTTTCTTAAATGTCCTTTTCTTTACAGGTGATGTAGCTAGTTTTTTTATAGAATCTTATAATTTAAGGTGGCAAGATTCTTAATTCAGTGATTCTGCTACGTAGTGTCAAAGTAGTGTTCAGTACTGCTATTTTTCGTAGTGTTTATTACAGGGAAGTTAAAAGGTAGTTAGTCTAATTAGCCTTTTTCTATTGAAAATTTGGTATAGTATTTTTAGTCCTACTTGGAGCCGAGATTCAAAGGTAAGATTAATGGCTTACACATGGTTTATTGTAATGTTCTCAATGTATTGTAGACGTTCTGTGCGTGTTCGTTGTATTGTTGTAACTGTAGTGTAGTTTATATTTTGCTCAATTTCGTGTATATCATAGACAGCTTCTCAGACGATTCGGTTAATATTGAAAGTCTAGACAGACATACTATAAAATTACGGCCAAAGTGTTTGATTAACCCTCTCGTTGTCTGTTCCTTAGTAAACGGCGTTCTCTCCCAGATCGATTTTGCTCCACCTTATCTAAAAATGTAAGAGTATGATTTACCACAACACACACAGTCACAATCACAAGGAAAATATTTGAGTTTCTCATAGGCTACGGGGGAAACATTTGTTGGCGAAAATTCAGATTTCAGTTAATTTTCTCTGACGTTGGTAATCCTTAAAATGTTATTTAAATTTGGTTGTAAAAATCAAGTCAAAATTGGAAAAGAGTTTTGTGAAATTTGATCGACTTTCGTTACTGTATTTCATGGTATAATTCCTCCAGCGTATATAAATGATTATTTTATGGTTAGGTTAGGTAGTTGGGATTCTTAGTTTTTCTGCAACGTTGGTTGTAGATTTCTTCTGTTTTTGGTCTAGAATTTTTTATCTGCTTTTATAATCTTCAAGTTATTCTAACATATTTGTGCAATTATGTGAATAACGTATTATAATATCCAAAACACGACAGATGACGTTAGTTCGTCAGATAAGTTAATACAGGTAAAAATGTTTTTCGTTTTTATTTCATTTGAATATTTAACCATTATAATGAATCTGTTTTAAACTCATTGAAAATAATTGATATTTTTTGTGAGCACGTATCGAAGACCTTGGGACGTTTGGAGTTGTATTTACCACCTGTTTTTAGCTTTGCATTATTCAATCAGTAGATAATTAGGACAATAGCCTGCAACTTTCTCTACTAACGCAGCTTTCTCTGAATTGTAAACAAACATGTATAATGAGACATGCACCAGTACGGAAATGTCATCACTCTTTAGCACAACTAAATCTTAGATCTGTGGTATCGACCGAGCCACTGGATTAACCCTGACGACTCATTGACTGTGTGGTGCATAGTAACCTTGATCTTACCTGTCCGAATAGGCGTACATTTTAAGTTTGGAAAGAGTCTTACTGGTTTAACCTTCAGATGTCATACTTAATTCGACGGCGGTGTTGTGTTGTTCCTGTTTTAGCGCTAAGACTTTTCTTAAAAATTTGGTTAACAGACTCAACTTTTTAAGGGGAATGTAGTTTATTTTCTTGCAAGTACGAACCGAATTTTTAAATACGTTATTATTATTATTATTATTTTCACGACGACTCTTTGAGTTAGCTCCGTGTAACATTCTGGCTGAGATTAAAGTTTCGAAGGAATATACTGCCTCCATATTCAGGGCGGGAAATGTAGACGCTTTATTACTCTGAAACGTTCCTTTATGCGCAAGACCTAGAATAACCCCAACTATATTTCTTATTTGTTATACAGATAAAATCGGACTTTCAACGTTTAATTGCAGAATTTAATAAATGTATTCCAGAATAGCTGGTGAGTATAATTGATATGTGTTTATTGGCTTTAAAATATGTAATTAGCCTGAATGTAGTGCTGCATTTTGGATGTAAAGCATGGTTAATTATCTAATATTGTCACGCAAGTTAATTAATTACAATATGTAGCATGCATTCATGTAACAGGTAAGTGGAAGATATTTTAGAA